AACTCCTCAGACATCTAGCGGTGAAAAGTTGGAACTAATGAACGTGGTGTCTCAAATACGTGTAGTTCACCCTGTTCGCCGGAGAGATGGCGCCACTAGTTCGATTTTTTTTTACTGTATTAATATTGATTTTATTAGCTTAATTATTTTAAATATGCATTAAATTACATGAGAGAGCAAATATAATTAATTTCTGAATGTTTTAGATTTCATCGAGCTGTTCCTAACATAACCTATACCTGATCTGAAGGATAATTCAAAGATTGTTCTGCTTTCCTCATTCCATCGATTTTTTAGGTACGTACGATTGTAGCATATATTGAATCGAAAGTGTAGCTTCCGTACCATCACTGTACCAACCCTCGTTAATATTCTAAGAGGAATTATTTTATTATTTGTATTTTTTTGGTCTCCAGTCGATTGCTAGATGACGACAATAGTACAATCTCCGAATGCGCGAATTTCAAATTATGAAGCATACAGTGCAATATTTCAAGCTCTTTACAGCAACAAAATTCTTGTAAGTAATGTATTCGTATATTGAAATTTTCTTCCGTTTATATTAATGTACTACAATAATATAATGTACTGCAATACAACATACTAAATACTAAAATACTACAAAGGTGATGAGCATAACAAAATTATCTAAAAATGTAATCAAGATGAGGGTAGGAAAGTAATTAGTGTAGTTAAGGTATTTCAATAGCTACGAACTAATAAAAACAGAACACATTTTGTACACTTAAAGGGTATTTATTTTAACCAAACAGATTACATATATATACGATGTTGCTCGTTTAAATGTTACAATCGTTTGTTACATCCTTAGAGTACAATTTACCGCAACATCTTGTGCGTTACTAATCTAGATTGTTGTGTGATAACTTCACGTACCGAAGAAAATGCCTATAATTTATTACAATAATCCTCCTTAATAATATTCATTCTCGTAATCGCTAACCGTACGTAGCGAGGGAAATATTTGCAACTACGGAAGCTTGAAAATATCTTGAATATGTATATTTTAATATTATAATCGTTTGGACAATAATTTTGCTTACAGCAGTTTAAAAAATCATCCCTTTCTCTTTCGTGTTGATTTACTTCCAAGGAAAATCCCTTGGAAATTTTTTTACCATGAAGTATCGAATCATAATTATCTCCCCGTTGAACGAATAATAATTTCATGAAAATACAAAGCCGATCCTCACTATGATAAAACGTAGCTGTCGTGTTCGTATCGTTGACAGAGATCATGACAATATTAATATTATTATACACATATATAATATATAAATACAATATTAATAGTATTAATATAGTGTCAATATAGATTATAATAATATTCATACAGGAGCCTTAGTTCGTGTAGCATATAAATATTATTATAACAGGGAATATAATATTATAAATAGATTCAATATATTAGATTTGTTTTCTCTATATAGACTTTTTTTTTCGTCGTTGCCGACTTTTGTCGCAGTGTGAATCGGCTTGCGATCTCGTCTTTAATTCAATTTAGACGTGGATTTTGGACGCTGAATTCCCATAGACATTTTCGACGATAGATTTATCTGTCTCGGCTTTCTACAAGCGGTAACCTATGAGGTAACGTGAAAAATGCGAGAGAAAATTGGAATAGTTTTCGAAAGACAGCGCGGATTGCACGCTGGAAAGTCGAGAAACGTGTTAACGGTGACACTCGCTGTAAATTAACACTTTGATGGATGTGCGCTTCTTGCAATTTTTCACGGGGAAATTATCTAGAATTTATAACGTGATAAAATTAAGGAACGATAATCCTTAGCTTTTCACTTAATAAAAAATAGATTCTTGTTATTTCTATACCCTTGTTTTATTTGGGATAAAAAATATATTGACAATATGATTTGTACCTCAATTTGTACTGAACGCAATAGAATTTAAGGTATTATAGGTGAATGCTGCAGGGTGTTTCATAAGTATAGGTCCTAGAAATGGGGGGTAGCTGACGTGATTCTGAATAAGATTTCCCTTTGCAGAAATGGGGTTTGAAGCCTTGTTTTTGAATTATTAAGGAAAAACACGGACCAAACGCGTTGGATTTTTGCGAGTTGGATTTACACGCGCTGAATTCCCATTGCGTTGAATTTTCACGCGTTAAATTTCCACGCGTTGCATTCCCATGCGATAAATTTCTACGCATTAGATCTCCACGCGTAGAGTTCCTACGCGTTGGATTTCCACGCGTTGGATTTCCATGCGTTGGATTTCCATGCGTTGAGTTCCCGTGCGTCGAATTTCCACGCGTTGAATTATCACGCGTTGAATTTCCACGCGTTGAATTCCCATGCGTTGGATTTCCATGCGTTGGATTTCCATGCGTTGGATTTCCATGCGTTGGATTTCCATGCGTTGGATTTTCATGCGTTGGATTTCCATGCGTTGAGTTTCAATGCGTCGAATTTCCACGCGTTGAATTATCACGCGTTGAATTCCCACGCGTTGGATTTCCATGCGTTGGATTTCCATGCGTTAGATTTCCATGCGTTGGAATTCCATGCGTCGAATTTCCACGCGTTGAATTATCACGCGTTGAATTCCCATGCGTTGGATTCTCGCGCGTTGAATTCCCATGCGTTGGATTTCCATGCGTTGAATTCTCATGCGTTGAATTCCCATGCGTTGAATTCTCACGCGTTGAATTCTCACGCGTTGAATTCTCACACGTTGAATTTCCAAGCGTTGAATTCCCATGCGATGAATTTCCACGCATTAGATCTCCACGCGTTGAATTCTCATGTGTTGAATTCCCACGCGTTGAATTCTCACGCGTTGAATTTCCAAGCGATGAATTCCCCTGCGTTGAATTTCCACCCGTTAAATTCCCTCACGTTAAATCTCCACGCGTCAAATTCCTTATTATTCCGTATTTCCCCTTAATAATTCAAAACCGAAGCTTCATATTCCATTTCTACAAAGGAAAATCTTATTCAGAATCACGTTACCCCTATTTCATGGTCCTATACTAGTTGTAACACCCTGTATACATCGCATTGACACAATAGAATTTGCAATCTAACTAGCCTTTGTTTCACGATGTAACGCGTTACGTGTATCGAAATTGACAATAGCTATTGTAAAACGCAATAACGTTATCTCGTGTAAAAGATAGCAATATCGCCCACCATGAAACAATTGCATCCACCAAAGTATTAACCTACAAGTAGAATAAAAAAGTAGAACAAAGAACACAGAAAATATCGCAGAAACAGGTTTGAAAAGTTGATTGATCGAGAAGAGATTCGTTTCCTCCAAAATTGAATGGAAAATGATTATCATACTCGTATATATAAGTTACTGAATATTTTGAACTTCCTTTTACAACGCATACTGTACAATTCTGTACAATATCGGGAGTTGAATGGAATTTAGGTTTGCCCACATCCGCGCATTAATGTCCGTTCATGGTCACGATTTTTCACCAAGTGAATTCTCTGTAACACCACTTTCTACAAATTTCAATAGTTTCAATGCCACGTTGAAAAAATATCAGCGTTATCGTGTTTTTTTTCTGTTATCATTTCGCAACTCGTTTGAATCAATGAATTTCCAGAATGATTAATTTTGCAAGCCCGTGTTGAAATTTCAACGATGCCGTGCCGAGTGGATCAATAGCAAGTCCGCACAAGAAACAAGACAAAAATAAGATAAAACGTGACACGAACGATCGCAAAGATAATAAAGAAAAGAGACACAAACGTTTTTAGGCCTGCTAAAAACAACGATACTTTCCTATCGATCGATCAATTTGATCGGAACAAACACGAAATGGGAGATTAAACGGGGGACTAGATGTGAAACGCGTACTCGTTATATGGCAGTTCGACTAGGGTGTTAACAATGTCTCTTTTTTTTTTCAACGATTGTTTCTACGGAACATGCATCGTAACGTGTGTTTTTACACGGTAAAAATATATGCATTTCGTATAGTTTAAAAAATACCTACTACGTTGCTTAATGCAACTGCGACGACACGTCTATCGATTAAACCCTTTCAGAGGTGCAAGCACGAACTTCAATTACTATGTTATATACTCTATGGTCGTTTCAAGCTTAGAAATTGTTAGTTGAAAAATTGTGGTAAATTTACTTGACTTTGAGATCACTGGTGATGCCTCGTTTAATATTTCATAATTATAGAAAATTACCATGGTCTCAATTTTTAATATCAATTATATAAAATAGCGAATTCAATTTTATTACCACGGGGTGTGGTTTCTTAAAATTAGCACAATTTAAAATAATGTTTAAAAATTGGTAATAGGTATCACTCGTGATGTCATATTCCTTGAAATTTGGAATATTAGTTATAAAATTGTAAGTTGAAAGTTTTAATTCGAGAAATATACACGATAGAAGTATGGTTTCAAATTTAATATCGAATTTGGATTAATATAAAATAGTAGAGTGAATACTTGTGACTGCCATTGTGGACGTTTCAGATTTAATTTTCGAAGCTCGGAAAGTAATATTAGAATTTTTTAAGTTCATTACTGAACTGCTATAACATACGATGACAATTATAATATTAATTTAATTTAACAAACTTAAAGATTACTGAGAAATACCAAGTTGAACTGTTACTTTAACGTACATATTAAAATTGTAATATTAATTTAATTTAACAAACTGAAAGTTTACTGAGAAATACCAATTTGAACTGTTTCTTTAACATACATATTAAAATTGTAATATTAATTTAATTTAACAAACTGAAAGCTTACTGAGAAATACCAAGTTGAACTGTTGCTTTAACATACATATTAAAATTGTAATATTAATTTAATTTAACAAACTGAAAGCTTTCTGTCGTTCTAGTAAGACCTCAAATTTAATATTTTATGAATTTTGCAACATTAACAATAAAAAGTAAGAAAGTGCAATTCACTGGTCTCAAATTAAATAACTTTGTAACAATAATATAAATTAATAATATAATAATAACGAATACGAAATTTAACGCTTAAATTTGAGGACTACGTTTATTTGGGTCCCAAATTAAATATAAAATTAACATAAAATACCGAACGCTTAAATTTTAGAAGTACAACGTTCAGCCCTCGTGGGAGTCGACAATGTCTTACATTTAATATTCCTTACAATTTCGAACATTGTTAACATAAAAGGCTTAAATTTGAGAAACGTGTACTCCTCACAGCGGTCCCAGGTGACGTTTCAAACTTAATATACCGTCGAATTTCAAACACCAGCGCAAAATACAAAATTAGAAGTAAATTTAATAATTAACAAGTCGCCATGTAGGTCACCGGTGACGTCCCAAAATGGTGGACGTTAAACGACAGACGCAAGAATTCAGAAAGGGGTGTTCGACTTTCGAACGATTATCGAAGGTTTACATCTCGTATCGATTCATTTAGCCGAAAATATTCGCTCGTTCGTGGCAAATCGAAAACTCTTCAACGACTCCACGAATTCTTGACACCTAATCGTCAAATATCGACGCGAATTGTATTTACGAAATACGATCGATATACCCTGATATCGGAATTTTTTTATCCAATTTAACAATATTCGATGGATACAATTTCTTTTCGAAATACTCTCGATTCAACCCTTTGCGAAAGGAACGATTAAAGCATCTACATTAGCAATTTTAACCCTCAGGGTACCAGCATACAATTTTGAACTTGCTACAACGCAATGATACGCTTTTTACTTTGAAATTTATTAACTCTTATACAAACAAAATTTGCACATGCAAACTATCTGTACTCTAAGGGTTAAATCCTCTGTTATTGGCGGGTGAAATAAATTACGGAATTTTATGTACCATCGTTACATGCTTTTGCAGCTGCCGAATAACGGAGGATTACACGGTATACGACGAATTTCTTAGTACATTTCTTAGGTGCAGTAACTAGTTCATCGTCCTCAAAGGGTTTAACGAGACCCTGATCCGTCGAGTGCACCATAACGAGCAAAGTGTTTCTTCTCGTTGACCCGTTCGATCTTCCGATTCGTTTGACCCACGTTTCACGTATCGGCGTAATGTCAATTTGCGAATAATCAATACATCAATATCCGTCGATTATCCGCGTGTATCGATCCGAATGGGTGAACCTTCAATTTTCGGAAGAACGAAAACGACGAATTCTAACCTCAAACAATTCGAAGGATAACAAATTGAACGCGATGAAAGTTGTCGGGGGATCAAATGAAAGGGTTTCGTATTCATATCGCGTCGAGGACAAACGAAAAAGTAAACACGAAGCCCGGATTTGTTCTGTTGTTGATTCTTGGTTGCTTTTTTTTTGGTTTGTTTGTTTCAGACATATCGACAATTCGATTTCGTAAGATCAGCTCTTATGTCTGATTCTATTTATTTCTTCGGCTCCTCGTTCTGGCCGGGAGTCGATAACACTTCCTGGCGAACCTTGTGACCCCGGAAGCTCGCCTGGATTTTCGTCGCTGCTTTGTGCAGATCCGGATCCGTCAGGTCGATGCCCTCCAGCTCGTTCATGGCTTCCTTTGCCTGCAACAATTAAATGTAACATGGTTACGTGCATTCATAATTATACGCGAGTTAAATTGTTACACTAAAGTGGAACGATTTTGAAACGCGGATAGCGTGATGCAATTTGATCACATTAGTATTGAGAAAATAAGTCGTTTTATAGTTTAAAATTTAGAGAAAATTATAATATAAACGTTTTATTAATATTCTTAGTGCAAAATGGCTAATTAGTTGAAGCAAATCTATTATCTTTATTTGTTATTCAATAGCAAGTATCTAATCTTTCAACGAATCAGCCATTTTGTGTTAAGAATATTGATGGGGCATTTACGTAGACATTTTTGTCAAGGTTTAAGCTTTGTATTGATATGTCATATGTGCTGCTTTGTATTACTTTTATGTCATGAATTTTTATCAGACTTTTTAGATTTGAAGCTGAACTGTTGATGCGTGAGGAATCACTGTTCACTTCAATTGGCAACCAGTTGTTCTGTATTACGAATATTAAAGGGGCACTTATACAGTCATTTTGGTGAGGTTTTAAGCTTTAAATTGATGTATCAGAAGTTCAATTCTGAGATACTTTTCTGTCATGAATTTGTCATAGACTCTTCACGTTTCAAAATTATTATATCATTCATTACACAAACAGATAATATGATACAACTAATCATCATTCATTTATTATGAAGAATATTAAAGGTGCATTTATATAATCATTTTGGTTAAGTCTTAAGCTTTAAATTGATGTATCACAAGTGCAATTCTGAGATACTTTCCTGTCATGAATTTGTCACAGACTCTTCACGTTTCAAAATTATTACACCATTTATTACAGAAACAGATGCGCTATAATTAATCACAAGTCATTAAATATGAAGACCATTAAAGAGGTATTAATACAGTCATTTTTACTAGATCTTAAGCTTTAATTTGATGTATTACATGTACCATTTCGCAATATTTTTCAGTGATAAAATCATCTTACTAGACTTTAAAAGTTCTTTTGTATTACTCTCGTATACGAGCCGCCTTTGTTGTATCGCTATTTAAAAACATTCACAACTCAACTATGACGCTTCCTCGACACAACGGCATCGTTTTAAAAAAAGAACTTGCCACTCTCAATAGAGTCATCGATCGATCCACGGGAACAAACGCAACGTTGAACAGGAACCTCCAAAAAAGACGTCGTCGCGTCGCCCTTCTTGTCACGGCCTATTTCTCGCGATTATGCGCGCAATTATTATCCCACCGGCTAAATTTAGGCTTGATTATAACGAAACAAGTGGCTCTGATGTCACCAGCAGGGTTAAGCTGGCTTAACAAGGGCTCGGGGAAAAAAAGAGGAGCCACCACATGCAAAAGAGCAGGTTTATAAACATGTAGATTGCAATTAAGCGACAAGATATTTGCATTCTACCCCTACTTTTCGGCCTATCGTTAACCATCCTCTATTCACTTTCATGCTTCCGACAGGGGATCGATAAAATTTTAAAGAAAAATGGTGAATTATTGGACGGAATATTTTAAAGTGATTAAAATTTAAGATGATTAAAGTTAATTTATAGGATTGTTAATGTGAAATGAATGTAGAAATATAGAAATGTAAATGGAATTTTTAAATGTAGGTACTGAGACGTTTAGGAACATCAAGTTTTCTATTTGTAGATTAGTTAAACAATTTATAGGTTTGTTAATGTGAAATGAATGTAGAAATACAGAAATATAAATGGAATTTTTAAATGTAGGTACTGAGACGTTTAGGAACATCAAGTTTTCTATTTGAAGATTAGTTAAACAATTTATGGGTTTGTTAATGTGAAGTGAATACAGAAATACAGAAATGTAAATGGAATTTTTAAATGTAGGTACTGAGACGTTTAGGAACATCAAGTTTTCTATTTGTAGATTAGTTAAACAATTTATAGATTTGTTAATGTCAAATCGATGCAAAAATATTTTTAAATATCTTCAAACATTTTAAAGAATTTTTAGATATCCTCAAAAATTTAAAAATATCAAATTTTCTATTTAATAAATGTTCAAACTTGCAAACCTGAAAAATCTAAAAATTTAAAACATGAAAATATAGAAATATAAAAATATGGAAATATGTAAAAATATAGAAATGTTAAATTTGTGAATCGAGAGACAAGCACGAAGAAAAAGAATGTAAAGGATCTCAGAATTTATGAATACAGTCCCGATATCTCGCAGACATATACAAGTTTCTCTTTTATAAAACCGATTTTACCCAGCTTTTCTAGCAACGAGGGATTCGTGCGAGAAGGCTTTCCGTGTCGTCGTTACTTTCGACGACCAACTTGTTCGGACAAAGGTATTCGGATCTTTCGTGACCCAACGTTATTCGTCACCCTTTGAATCGTGAGTTATTTTGATGGCTTGATGCCGAATGTTTTAAGACTTGACAGGTTACGATGTTCAAAGTGCATTTTTACCGTTAACAACTATAATAATTATCGATTTCTTATGATTGATGTGACTTTATTTGAATTTCAACAAATTTTTTTTCTTTGTAATTTATTAGAATTTCATTTTTAGTTAAAGTGTAAATAAAAGCAAAATATGTATTGCGTTTTTTATATTTGTAAATAAAAATGTTTCTAGGTTTTTGGATTATTAAAATTGTTATATTGAAAAACAATTACACTTATGAATTTGTGAAAATCATGAATTAAAACATCTTTAATTTTATGAACTCATAAAAATCGTGAATTAAAACATTTTTAAATTTTTGAAGTTGTGAAACTTTTGCATTAAAACATCTTTAATTTTATGAACTTTTGAAAATCATGAATTAAAACATTTCTAAATTTTTGAAGTCGTGGAACTTTTGTATTAAAACATTTTTAATTTTATGAATTTATGAAAATCATGAATTAAAACATTTCTAAATTTTTGAAGTTGTGGTACTTCTGCATTAAGACATCTTTAATTTTATGATGTCATGAAATTCTTGAATTAAAACATCTCTAAATATTTAAACTTATGAAACTCCTAAACTAAAAAATTGTTAAATTTCTGAATTTTTACAATTTGTCCAATAAAAATTCTCCAGCTTTCTAAACCTCTAAACTTCTTACATTAGCAAACCTCTAAATTCTACAATTTAAAAAATTTCAAAATTCCACAATTTGCAAAATTTCAAAACTCTGCAATTTGCAAAACCTCAAAATTCTGCAAATTCAAAAAACTTCAACTTTAAAAATCTCCAAATAAAAGAAATCTAATAAATTTCCAAATGTATAAAAGAATTTCGAGATCCAAAAATACATAAACTTTTAACAACCCTAAATTTCTATCTTCGAAAATAAAAATTTTTTTAAAAAGTAATTTCAAGCTCAGTGATCCAGCGACGATAGCATAAAACAAGATATTCGAAGTCTTACGAATCAAAAATTCATGAAAACCGTTCCATGCACGACAGCGAAAGATAGATGGTAAAATTGGATGATCCGCGTAGCTGTAAAACGTTGCGTCAACCTGCAAAACGTTGAAAGCAAGATGAACGACTTCCGGCGAGACGGACGTGCGCAAAAGAAACCGAAATTAAATCTCCCTTTCATGAAATACGCACACAGTGCGGAACAATGTGGTATTGTCAGAAAAAAAAGCCAGAGAAGAGATTAAAATCGCGTCCTTGAAACGTTGTTAATTCAACTAGTACGTCTATACACGACCCAGAAAACCGAAATTGCAGGAAATTAATGAAACAAGGGTGACTGTAAATTGTAGTTTAATTGTAGGAGCACTGTTAGGAAGATCATACAACCATTAACAAAGTTCTCGAGTATTAAGATCTGCCAGGGTGAAGTGTGATCTTAAGTAAAAGCCCTTGTTGGCTGAAAGCTCGAAATCTTTGAGGGGTCTTTAAAACCAGCTTTCGCGCTTTCTTCGTACCCCTTGTTGGACAGATCATCGTTCTTCCACGGATTTATTTACCCCTTATTTTCGAGATTGTTTGGAAATATAAAATGGAATTTATTAAAGTAAAGGTGCATGTATGTAATATAGCTTCATGTAGCTTTGTGCAGTTTTGAAGCTTCGTACGGCGGTTAAATAGTGTTTAACCTGATTGTTCTTAATGAAATTGAGGGAGATCGGAGAAAATTGTTTATTAATAAGGAAAAACAGCTATGTAAAACGTTATAAGGAAAACATTATTATAAGCTGAGGAATTATTAAAGAAAATTATAAGAAGTTGGATTACTGTGAGAACCATTAGAAGTTAGGTTAAGTAAGAACGTCATAAGAAGTTAGGTTAACGAAGAGGACCATAAGAAGTTAGGTTATGTAAGAAAATCATAAGCAGTTAGGTTAAGTATGAAAATAATAAGAAGTTAGGCTAAGTAAGAAAACCACAAGAAGTTAGGTTAACTAAGAAAATCATAAAAAGCTCAGTTAAGTAAGAAAACCATAAAAAGCTCAGTTAAGTAAGAAAATCATAAAAAGCTCAGTTAAATAAGAAAATCATAAAAAGCTCAGTTAAGTAGGAAAACCATAACAAACACAGTTAAGGAAGAAAATCATAAAAAGCTCAGTTAAGTAAGAAAACCATAAGAAGTTGGGTTAAGTAAGAAGACCATAAGTTAGTTTAAGAAAAATCGATGGGCCTATTTTACCAAGCAAGGCGTAACTCGTGTGTTCTATTTAAAAAGCTTCGGCACAACAGAATTGGCCGGAAATTAACGAATCTGCACGCCACATAATATCCAACGTGGATCCACAAAAGGGCCTTCGACTAACCGGTGTTCGATAACAGAGTTCCTTCGAATAGCAAACTCTATTTCTGTTTCGTGACAATACGAGCCAGTACGAAGAACCTTTTGCGAAAGATCCGGCGATCATGGAATGAATTGAAAGGACCCAGAGGCGCAGCTGATTACCGTTCGATTACGACCTCGTGCTGATGAATCAACATAACCATGAAGGGGCTAACAATAGGTGTGGTAGGTTGATCAAGGTATTGGTCAATATCGACCCAATCTACAAAT